AACGTGCATATGTTGTGTCCCAGGTCGGATCTTCCGATCATGCAGAGGGGACAGCATATGACTGACATAGATAGATAGAGAAAATCATAGATAGAAATGCATAGAAATAGAGTGCATATGTTGCATCCTAGGTCAGATCTTCCGATCACGCAAATGAGGCAACATATGACTGACAGAGAGGATAAGAAAGAAAAACAATTTCACACCGACATACTTTATCAGAACCCCCCAGTCACCCTATCAGCACCAGAATTAAGGATATAAGTCTGTACGCCGAAGAAATGTTGAGCCACAGTTCTAGATGATAAGTAACTTTAATGTATCTCATAGGCTCCCTTGTTTATCTCACTGCTCAATCTATCCAAGCGTCGTATAGTCAGTCCAAATGTAACTATCTAAGTCCAGATGAGTTAACATTGTCTAGTCCTTTCATTTTCAGTTGGGTCTAGTCCATTAATTTAGAATCCTTCATGCCTACCAGCACATTAAACACAGAGTCTAAACAACTCAGCTTCAGTGCATTACACGCATCTCATATTGCCCTTTAGCACTAACTTCATATCACTTCCCAAACACTTACGAAAAAAACTTTTTTTTTATCTTTTAATTTTTTTTGTATTTTGATTTCTCCCCCTTAATTTATGCATGGGGAGAAACGAAACAAAATAAATGCGCAAATTAAAAAATTTGTCTTCGAAATGAATCATTTTATGAAAACTTAGAAGTATCGAGAAGAAAACTCAAACCGTAATTCAGCAACTGAAGTTGCATCCAGATGATCTGAGAACAACATGCAGATGCAACAACATATTCAACCTTAGTTGTGTTTCATTTCCGAAACATATCCAAAAATTCTTCACATCGTTAAGTACAATCCCCATTTGTGATCCTCTTCTTTCTTCCTTCCCGCAAAGGATACATGCTCTCAATTAAAGTTTTGAATGTAATGTAGTTGAGAGATGTCTCATATCATGTGCCTGGAACAGCCACTATCAACAAACCGAAGTCTGATGATATTCCTCCATAGCTGCTCCGACACAGAGTGCAGGATTAGTTGGTCTTTGGAACCCAGTCCATTTTGAAGCTGGGTTGACCCTTTTCATCTACACAAGGTACTCTCTCCCATGACATATCGTGTTTATCAGACACAGAAGATGAAGAAATGTTAGAATCATTAGATGATTTGGGAGTATGAACCTTCGGTACCCATCTGTAGTCGGGTTTAACCCATTTCTTGTTTGATCGGATGGATGCCTTGTCACTTGCTTTAGAACTTGATACCGATCGCCGAGATGACTTCGAACTAAGTGATCTTCGTTTAACTGAACCATTTCTTGAATTTGTCATCTTTTCAGACATTCCCTTCTTGTCCTTGGGAATTTGATTCTTGGCCTTTTTCGCATTCCAGTCACCATTATTTGAACGTGACCTCGAAGGGTTTCTTTTGTAAGATCTCCCTCTTGGCACGTTCTACTAACCTTGTGCATAGTAAGGAACATATACACAATGTGGGCAATTTTTGGCAATGTGACCGGTAATCCCACAATTAAAACAAGTCTGTCTTTTCATATAGATGAGATTGTGACTTGGTCCTTGTCCAAAAGAATTTTGTTTCAAGGGACTTCCACAAGCACAAGCATAAGAACATTTAACAGATTGTTTAACAAACTTTTGTGGCTTGGGTTTTTCCACAGTGGGAGTATCAGTATCACAAGATTTTGAATCATTATCAGCAGAACTAGAATCATTTTTGTTCTGTTCATGCTCATCTTGCACTTTGACCTGCTCTGCACATGAGGTAGAAACATTAGTATCATTCATCTCAATATTCTCAGTTGGGCCAGATTGTTCAGTCTCAACTGAAGCTGGTACATGGGGCGGGCCATACTGAGCAGTTATCTCTACCTCATTGGTTTCAAGGGGCGGGGTATAGTTGTCACTGAAGGGTGGTGGAACACAGTGATACCCTAGACCATTATTCTGATTATCTTTAAATCTTAATTGTTTTTCTATCATGGACACAACTACCTCACTTGACACGTCAAATTTCTTAAAGTCAAATTCAACATCTTTATATTTAGCTTTTAATGCATCAAGTTCGGCAGTTAATTCGGCAATTTTTACTTGAGCATAATCATATTGTTCACATTTATCGCTATATTTTGCTTGAAGTTTTCTAAAGTCCTTGTTTTTGGCCTCTAATTGATTTTTTAAGGGTTTTTGGTCCTTTTGATAGTATATCATTCATATTTAAGGGCCTCATTTTCTCTACGTAATATATCAATTTGACCACGAGGAAATTTAATTGTATCAGTACAGGCTTAAGAACAGGAAGTTTCATTGACCTATTTTGTGATTGATGAACTCATTATTCACAAAAAAATAATTTACCAAAAATAGAACTGATTGTGAAACCAAGAAAAAATGCCCTTTGATTTGAAACCTCGAAAGTCAAACTTGAAAGTCAAACGTAAAAGTCAAACTTAAAAGTTAAAATTGAAAGTCAAAGGTGAAAGTCAAACTTGAAAAGTTAAACGTGAAAACTTGAAAGTTAAACGAGAAAGTCAAAGGTCAAACTTGAAAGTCAAAGGTGAAAGTCAAACTTGAAAAGTTAAACGTGAAAACTTGAAAGTTAAACGAGAAAGTCAAAGGTCAAACTTGAAAGTCAAAGGTCAAATTTGAAAAGTCAAAGGTGAAAATCAATCCTTTTGACAAAAAAAAATAACCTTAATTGAAAACAAAAGTTTCTAGACCGAAAACAGAATTTTAATACCAAAAACGAGAGAATTTTGACTTAAAAACGAGGGTATTTTATCAAATACAAAGGTATTTGACAAAAAACGAGGGTATTTGACCAAAAACGAAAGTCTTTGACCAAAAACGAGACTTTTGGACCAAAAATAAGTTGAAATATGGAAAATCCGAAATTTTAGCCGAAATTTGCGATGCCTCTCAACCTTAACCGTGATGGCTCGCACCTATGATGCTGACCGAAAACGTGAGCCGTAAACCTGCGGACCGAAAACAACGAGTTTGAGATCTTCGCACCATGAAACCTCGCTTCACACCGTGAATGAGGCCGAGGACTTTGCTGCTGATCGAGAACGAGATTCCGTCCGAGAACGAGATTGCGTCCGAGAACCCTCGCACCAAGAAACTGCTGGCCACCGAGATCTTCTAAGATTGACCGAGATCCGAAGTTTGACACCAGGATCTCGCAAATCTTAACCAAAAACACACAAATCTTGCCAAAAAACACGGGATTTTCAATTTTCTAATGCCAAACTCGATCAAATATTTGAAAATATGAAGAACACGAAGAACACGAAGAACAATGGCCAAAAATTCATAAAATATAAATAAAAAACACCAAGAAACTCCAAGAAAAAGCGTTTACAATGACCCGATTGATTCCGATCCAAGCTTTGATACCAATTGCAAGTCCCCAAAAACGCTTTGATGTATCAATCGGATTCACTTGATGGTGCGGAATCCCAATCAAGTGAATGAATCACAATGAAATATAGAATAAGAACACAAAATGTTAATCTTCAATACACATTATTATTGAATAGCCGGGTACATAAGATTCTTGATTACAATTCGTTTTCTCTCTGGTTTTCTCCAAAAACGTGTTCTCTGCATATGGCAGCCCCTAGAACGTCCAACCCTCCTATCTAGGTTAAAATAACACTATTTATACTTAGACCTAATAACAAAGCCCAAGCCCAAAACCCAAACAAGCCAATATTAAACCTAACCAAAATCACATGCGATTTTGGTCCAAACAACACCAAAACATGGTGTTTTCGGTCCTAGAGCGAGAACTCTAATAACTTATGAAAAACAAAGTATAAACCACAATTTATGACCTAACAACTGCAATTGATGATGAAATGAGAATGGATTCTATGACCTAGATGATATTTGATAGCAACAAATCCAATTAGAATGCTCAAATTCATCTATGATGTAGAATCATATATACGTTAGAATTGGAATGAAATTTAGTGAAATGTAATGAAAACTATGGAATCTTTTGTTTGTGAGTATTTGATGAGTATATGATGCTTATAAACATGAGTTGATACTAATAATATGTTTCCAATTCAAAAACATCAAGACTTGAATGATCCTTAAATGAATTTATAGAATATTAAGCCATAAGGGCATTTTGAGAAATCTATGGATTACTACATAAAAATTGACATCTAAGAAGTGAAAAAAATTCATGAATATAAATTGACATTCTAAAGATGATATTGGAAGATAAGCATTAAGAAATGCCAGTGAAGTTCTAGCTTTAGTGATTGTTTTGGCCCAATGGTAATTTGGGAACATTGAATGGAATTGAGGATTTCATAGTTACATTAAGTACATTGAATGGAATTGAGGATTCCATAGTTACATTAGGTACTTACAATGAGATTGGTTGTAGTTTTATGTACTTGAAAACACCCAATGATGAGAAACATCGACATGGAATACAAATAAGTTAAATACAAATAAGGAATCAATAGGAGAGAAACGACTAAGGTTGATTATTGGCCTATTACCATGTTAACAAATGATTTTTCCATAACTTGAAAAATTGTATTCCACCGATAAGTTAAGGGCTATGATTGTGGGCTAAGTATACATGAGCCACACAATAAAATACTACAACATAAATATATAATATACAATAAATATATACGGCTAACACTAATGCCTCATAAATTACGACATACAATACACTAAAAGGAAAACACATTACTACAAAAAATAATAATAAATAAATAAATCAGTTTCTCATATATCAAAATAAAGGTTGTCAAATTTAATTTTAGATAGACAACAAACACCACTTTATCTTCATTTTCCCATAATAATTTCCGAGATTAAGGTAGAGAATTTGCTATAAAAAGAGATTAGGGTTGAACTTGGATACAAAAACTAGAAGTTTTTAACACAAAATAAGATCTTTCAAATAGACCCTGTCAAAATGAGAAAAAATTTTTGTCTGTAAATCCCAAATAATAAATGAATGAGTAATGGCAAAAAGGTATATACATGATCTTTTATAAAAAAAAGACACCAAAGTGTAGTAAAAACATGTGTAAGCCCATTATCAGACGTAATATTCTATAAATATTCCATAATCCAACTTCTAAAACCCAACAGAGACATAACCCCAAGGCCCAAATTACCCACCGGAAGTGGAGATCGTGGAGGTGCTCCAAGCAATCGCGACGGAATCCGGCGACATCGTTTGCGAATATTCCTTCAACGACAAACCATCATCATCCAAAACAAGATCCTCATCCTTCTCCTTCACGTATCCCCCATTCTGTATACTATTCAAACCCTTCAACACCTCCTCCATCGACGGCCGGCAATCCCTCTCGTTTTGCAAACACCGGAAAGCCAATTCCGCCACCGCATTAATCATCTTCCTGACCTCGTAATCCGTCTCAAACCCTAGACTCGGATCCACAAGCTCACCGAGTGCATCATTTCGGATCTTATTCAAAGCCATATTCGATAGGTTAATCTCATGTCTGTGCCTCGTGATATCCACCGCCGGTTTAGACGATATAAGTTCAATCAAAACGACGCCGAAGCTATAAACGTCGCTTTTACTGGTCAACTGGTAGCACTCGTGATACTCAGGGTCGACGTATCCCGGAGTTCCTTGTGGCGCGGTGGAGACGTGTGTAACGTCGGTCGGAAAAAGGCGGGATAAACCAAAATCGGCGACTTTTACGCTAAAACTGTTGTCTAATAAAATATTGTTTGTTTTAACGTCTCGGTGGACGACGTCGGAGGCGTGGAGGTAGACCAGGGCGCTAGCGGTTTCGGTGGCGATTTTTATTCTGGTGATCCATGGGAGTGAACCGGGTTTGGATTTTTCGCCGTGGAGGTGGTCAGCCACCGTGCCGTTGGGGATGTAATCGTAGACAAGGAGGAGCTCACGGCTGTGATGGGTGGTGCAACCGTAGAGGGAGACGAGGTTGCGGTGGCGGAGATGAGCGAGGATTCCTACTTCGTTCATGAACTGCTCCACGCGTTTGTAGTTGTTTTCGTATAGGCGTTTCACGGCTACTTCACGCCCATCTTTGAGTTTCCCTGTAATTTAAAGATAACTTTTAAGATTTTCTGAAACAAAGATTTCGATTTCAGGAAATTTTGGAATAAATATAAACAATTGGGCTACATGTAAGGATTCCTTTATTTATCTATTGTAGCAATTTATTTCGAATATTTAGGATTGGATTATAAACATTTTCTTGGTAAAATGATCTAAATTGAAAACTCTACAATATTACAACAGTCCACTTTTGATTTTTCTTATTTGGTTATTCTACTTTGAAAAATCTAGAATTATGTTTTATATTTGGACACTATTGTTATAGTTTGATATATTTTAAAGATATAGTGATAATATTCAATAGAAATGTAAGCAGAACATTATAGTAAACAAATGAATGAAAGTACCTTGCTATTTTTTTTCACTTAGCCCTAGACTATGAAGCTAAATGTAAGAAATGACAATATAGTTTCATTCACTTGTTTATTATAGTATCTTACATTCAAATCTTTCGATTACAAAATTGTAGTCTTGATTAGTTTCCTAAATAGAGTTTTAGACACTATGCTTGAAAATTACCTGACTATAGCATTCTACTTTCAATTATTTTATTTTATTACAACTCTTTACTTTTAAAAATCTATCCACTTATACCTAACTACTGTCAATTTCCTTATGATAACATACTTAGAAAAATCTAGCCAATTATAGCAGTGGAAATTCGTGTTTCTGAGTTTGGATGAAATTATTAAAATGGGCTACATTTTTAATGATACAATGGTGTAATAGAAATTTTAAAGTACAATTAATGAAAGTACTTTGCTATTTCTTGCTTTAAAACCATTATGTAACACATAAATTGTAATTTAAGATTTCCCTAACGTAGATTTCAACTTGGAAAACTTGGTATAAAGTATAAGGCTAAATGCAATGAAGATAGCAACATACTTCCATTTATTGTCTTATTAAGGCATTGTACTTCAAAAATCTACTGAATTAAAGTAACATACTAGGTAGACTTTTAAAAAGTGCAAGGCCATAATAAGAACATAAACTAGGATGCTATAAGCAACTAATCAATGAAAGTAGGTTGCTATTTTTCAATTTAATTGTAATTAATATGCATACCGTGGTATACCGTGCCAAAACCACCATCTCCAAGTTCCTTCTTGGAATCGAAATAATTTGTGGCCTTTTCAAGCTCTCTATACTTAAAAATTTGGACTCCATGGTAGGTGTCATTCTTCTCAGGATCCGTTGTTGATGATGGATACGAAGAAATGTTTCGTGACATATAAGACGAACCAAAATAACGTTTCTTCTTCTTGTTGTTGCGTCTTCGCCAAACATACCAAATGACACCCATCATAAAAATCCCAAATACACTTCCAACAATACCAAAAGCAAGTTTCAGCTTCCAGTTTACCCCCTTACCTGAAAACATCAGAAAATCAGTCGTTTCTTAACATGCTTTAAAGTTAACTACGCACATGAACATTTCAATACCACAACAAATTCAAAAAAACATTACTAGAAAATCAATTTAGTAGTGAAAAAGATTAAAAGATGATTTACCGTTTTTCTCACAATTACTACACTGCCACTCCAACATAAAACCTTTTCTTAAAACATCGGTATAATTTTCATACAACAACTCATTCATGCCATCGGTATGCACGGGTACATGAACTAAACTTTGACACGAATTTATCGAATAATTGTTTTTCCTCAAAATTTCGGGGTGGAAGACAGCAAAAGACGAAAATCGACTGCTATTAGTATCACAATCAATTGTATATGTCCTCTCTGAATAGGGAAGACTACAATTGTAATAAAAGTGTAGATCGATTGTGAGAGAGCTATAGTTGAAGGGGCTTCCATTGGTGCTAAAGTTTCTTAGCGGAATTGGGCACTTATTGGTGTCGCTAAAAGCCTTCGAGCTTACAAGAAGGAATGAACTATTGGAATAAAATATGTCTTTTATGATATAATCATCGTTGGAGATTGTGAGGACTGGGTTTTTGTTTTTGCAGGTGATATTAAATCCACGGGACCCACAATCGGGTTCTTGTAGTTGAGGGATAAAAAAGGGGAAGGTTATATTTGGTCCGTTTCCACAGTTTTGTGGCAAACAAGATGTCGAATTGGAGGAAAGGGATAGAGATTGAAGATTAAAGTAAGTAAAAATTGTGAGAATGAAGAAAAGTTTATTGAAGAAGATGAAGAAATGAAGATCCATTTTTGGGTGAAATTGGAAACGAAGGAGAAGAAGTAAAGAGAAAGTGTGAATTTGGGAGGGAAGTGTAAAGATTTAAGGTCTTCGTTTTGGTTTGGATCCTTGTGAGTAAAGTCTTTGGTTGGATATAGAATAATAGAATAATAGAATATGATGCTTTTGTTTTGGTTCTAATCATGATGAAAAGTTTGAAAAAAAGTCAAGAGATAGTGTAATTAATTAATAAATAACTAGGAAATAATGTATATATTTATAAGATTCTTATTTGATTATTTCTTATTTTAGAATCTAAAAATTAATAACTTAGAATTCGTATCTTAAGTTATTTTAAAAACCAAAATATCATGTATATTACAAAGGTGCCATCAACCAATTCCATCCATGAATGTTCACACAAAAATATAGATTTACTAGGATTATACAAGTCTTAAAAAAAAACTTATAATAAATTTATAACTCAAATAAATAGGTGTACTATTTTGGTGACACGTGTAAGTTTGGGGTTGGTAAATGTTGACTTGAAGGGTAGAGGAATGGGTCCATAAATCCTTGTTTGAACCGAAAGCTTGTATTTAACCCTGCTTGTGGTTGTAGGGTTGATTTAGGGGAGAGACTTATATGTCCACGCCTTCACATTGCGGGAAAACAAAATTATGACGCGTAGACGAAAGCGATCTCACGCGCTTCTAACTTATTTACCTTTCTCAAATAACTTTGTTTAAATATTAATTTTACTATTTTCTATATAATTGTAAAAAAATCAGCTTTCTTCATTAGAATAGAATTTGTTACATTCTTGTCTTTAAATTTTGAACTATCTATGATGAGGTCCATCAAAAATGACTACTATATCCTTGTCTCCTTTATATTTTTTCAATAACCCTAACAACATGGCAAATTCTATTTAAGGACAAAATGCTGACAATTTTATCCATAATTTCTATTAAAATAATTAAGTCTTAATTATATTTAAATTACCTTTTGATTTTGTATGGGAATATTGCTCAAAAAGTCATCATTCACGACCACTTAACTGGAGACACGTTCATTTCTTTATTTAACATCTATTCATTCCAATTAAAAAGTATTTGGGGTTTCAAATACCAAATTCAAAGGTAGTATCTTTGGTAACTATATAGTCATTTTACAAACTGATATTTAATCCATAGACAAAATTATTTACGTGTTTTAGAAGTCTTCCCCTAGTGCTTACGTTAAATATATTTAGGAGCCACTAACAATAATAAAATTATTTAAGTGTTTTATAAGTCTTTCTTGGTGCTTACGTTAAAAAATATATTTAGGAGCCACTAACAATAATAAATTTATTTAAGTATTTTATAAGTCTTCCTTGGCACTTGGTCCTATACAATTAAAAAAAAAAAAAAAAAAAAAACTTTGTGGTTTTAAAAATGATATTAAAAAGTACTCAAAATAAATACGTCCTTGTACATAAAAGATAGAGTTAATTGCTTAAAGTAACTATTTTATTTTAAAACAATTTTTCAGTTTGAAATATTTGCTTTAACAATATAATTTTATTTTATTATTAAAACAGACAAGAAAACATGTAGCTTAATATGACAAAAGAAATAAAAAGTACACCGCATAAAGTTCAAATTAACCTAAAGTAGATTTATTTACGTTTATTCTTAAAATATGTACACTTACTTTAATAGTAGTGTTTTGAAATTGGTATGAAATTATAGGAAAAAGAAAATGAAACAAAAAGATAAACATATAATTACAAAATCAAGTAAATCGAGACATATTTTTCGAAGTTGACCTAAAGACTATGAGGCACAAACCACGCTTAGGCTGTGACCCATTCAATCTTTCACTTATCAAATAATAGTTCACATCTTTACTTTTCCTTGCAATTACTTTCAAAATATAAAATGGTATCATTATAAAATTTGAATGAGTCAACGGAAATGTCGTTGGTATATTGATTTTTTAAACATGTAATTTCTCGTATAACAAGTTTAGTTGAATATTTAACAATTTTAAATCTTTATTTAGTCACGTCAAATCAACCTTACCAAATTAGTCTTCGGTCTAAAAAATATATATACATATTATTATTTAGACATAACACTTAATGCAACATTTCACGTTATTGGTCTTATTATGTTAGTCCTCTAGTGTGGTATGTTGATGAAACACTAGGTACAAGATATCTTTCAAATAAGTATGAGTATATATACATATTATTATTTAGACATAACACTTAATGCAACATTTCACGTTATTGGTCTTATTATGTTAGTCCTCTAGTGTGGTATGTTGATGAAACACTAGGTACAAGATATCTTTCAAATAAGTATGAGTATCTCCACACCTGTCCATAGATTTTGAAGGCCTTATGAGTAAAGTAAAAATAGGCCCTTAAAATTTCATATTAGCGTTGAATATGACAAATTATAATTAATAAAAGGTATATATGGATAATTGTTAAAAAAAAAAGCTTAATAAGCTAGTTGAAAAGTTATTCTAAATAGGGTGAGCAAAACCAAACTCGGAAACCGAAAAACAGACAAAACCCAAACCGAAATAGAAACCAACGATTTGGGTTTGAGTTTATTAAAATCCTGAATAACGAGTGCGGTTTCGGTTTTAGTATATATTTATAAACCGATAAAACCGAACCGAATTATGAAATATATATATATATATATATATATATATATATATATATATATATATAGGGAATGTTTATTTGGAAAACAAAAAAAACCCTAATAAACCCCAAAAATCATAAAAATGCATAAAAAAAATACCTAGAGATCACAAAACTTTTTTTTTGACATTTTTTATGA